TATTATTATTATTATTACTAATAATATTATTGTGTCTAATATAAAAGGTAATCCATTGCATTATGAGAATTAGTGAAGCACTATACAAACTGGAAAGAAAGAAAATATCCCCTTTGATAAGTTGTTTGTCTCTGTTTTTTTATAAAAACAAGTAAATAACTCTATTATTTGTGCACACACTAAAGTATAAGGCCATAAGAAATATACTTTCTATAAAATGTACATCTAAATTAACTGTGGAATTGGATTACTAGAAAAGAACGCTAATAAAGAAACGCTTTTTTGACTCTGAACATTAGAAAAATTAACATTTGAATTTCTTAATATAGAAAAAGCAGTCCTCTTAATCGGGGCTATCTGGCACGTACTGATTTATATGATGTATAAGGAAAGTGAATGGTTAAGACTACTGTGGAGAGAGCTGTCTTCTAGCCAAATTGGTAGACAGTAATTTACGTCAGTGTTTACGTTCTCAAGATTTGTCGTGAGAAAATATGAACAAAGACTGATTCAAAACCGACCACAGCAGACTTTGCGTAGGCGGATGCAGTTAACATATAGATGATCTGACATTCAAGAAACAGTCACAAAGAGACGAAAGATTAACTTTAAGTGAGAAACAACCAATCAGAAGACTGTGTTTGTTTGCTTAACTAATCTGTAATAATGTACATGAAAATATATAAATATGCTTTGATTTCCTTAATAAACGATCTGTTGCCTGGCCCTTGTCTTCTGTTGTTACACTACTATTTCTATCGTATTATACTATTATTCCCTTGGGTTTTCAGTGGAACACAGAGCTTAAGCAGAACACCTCCACTTCATTTTGTCCTCTGAAGTCCTTTTCAGCTGGCTCGACGATTGCTCATAAGCTTTCATTTCCGCCTGACACCATCGTCTCCATATCCAACTCGTTGTTTTCCATTCATGTTCCACCCAAGGGCTAGTCAGATGTGTGTGATGTCATTAAAAGGTTTCGTCAGTGTATGACCAATTCATCTTTATTTCTTTCGCTATGCTTGCTGCTCAATAGGTTCTTGGTGACTTCAATGTTAGAGTTTCTTTTCGTCAATCTTTTCTGATCATCCGACCTTCAAAATGATGTCGATGAAAGTTTGAAGTAGTCTGTTGTGACGCGTGCGCAAAGTTTCTGAACCACATAAAAGTATTAGTATTGAAAATCCGTATTTCAATCCTTTTGCTGAGTGCAGCAGATTTCCACACTGAAAGTCGGTTCCACTTTCAGACCCTAGCTGTGTTTTACATCCACCTCTATGACACCTAGAGTTGAAACGATGCTGTCAAGATATCTGGAAGAAGTGACCTCTTTTAAATTCCCCCCCCCCATTGATGGTGACTGGTCGTTGTTTTTTTTGATTGGGTGTCTTCATCACCACTGTCTTCTCTGCGTTCACCTGAGGTGTTGTCTATGTTACCTACCGCTTCTGTCAACTTGTTGGTTGTCACCTGTAGATGTTCAAGTTTGTGTTACAGTAGACATAAATCGTTCACGAAATCCAGACCATCTAAAATCTTCCAGTAGAAAGTACATTGCACTAATCAAGGCACTCTACTCAAACTCACGTAGCCATGTAAGGGCTTATGGGGAATTGTCATCTGATGTGATAACAACCAGTGGTGTCCGTCAAGGATGTCCACTTTCCCCTTTTCTGTTTAACTTCACCATAGATATGCTAATGGAAGTATCCTTAACTGAACTTAACGACTTAGGAATCGACTTGTTTCCAGGGAATAGTCTTATGGACTGAGAATATGCAGATGACATAATCCTGTCAGGGGGGATGCTGACAAAATGTAGAGTCTTCTGAACACCTTGAGCAGCAATCTTCGTATGTTTGGCATGCGATTCGCCCCTGTAAAGTGTAAGATGCTTCTACAGGACTGGACTACGTCAACTCCTAGCTTAGTGATAGGGAGTGAAGTGATAGAACATGTTGACCACTTCACCTATTTGGGAAGTTGTATCACCACCAACGGATCGACTGGTGACGAAATCCCAGCACGGATCCAAAAAGCTCGGGCAGCTTTCGCTAACTTACACCGTCTCTGGCGTAGGCGTGACATCCGGCTATCAACCAAGGGACGTGTGTACTGCTCAGCAGTTCGCTCCGTCCTTCTCTATGGCTCTGAAACATGGCCAATACGAGTTGAAGATATGAAAAGGTTGTCTGTTTTTGACCACAGATGTTTACGATCTCTTTCTCACGTTAGGTGGCATAATAAGGTAAGTAATGTTGACGTTAGGCGTAGAGTGTTGGGCAAAGGGGGAAAATCAATCGAAGAGGCTGTAAAGTTACACAGATTGAGATGGCTAGGTCACGTGCTGCGCATGCCTAACCATCGCCTCCCCCGATGGACGGGCATTACTAGCTGATTGGAAAAGAGTAAGTGGTGGCCAAACAAAAACATGGCATCAATCAATCCACGAAATCCTTGACAGTTAAACTGAGTCAGGTAGGGAGATGCAGACTTCCGGGTTGGGGCCCTCAGGACTGTAAGAATCAATGCCTAGAGACAATAGGTGACATGGCTCAAAATCGTTGTCAATGGCTTACGCAGATGTATTCAGTCTCTGTAATCTTTTATATTCCTTTCTACCATTACTCATTCTGTTTCACTCTTATACTTGTCTAAATTCTATTGATTCTCTTCACTCATTTTCTTGTCTACCTTTGTGTGCGATTTGGAACGTAGCAACTCGAACTGCATCACTTCGGTGCCAAGTTCTATGTTGAATCCAGCAGCATAAAAATCTTCCAGTCAGCCCAACGTAAACCCATGTCTCACACCCCACAATCTGTTGCATGGTACAGTCCACCTCAACCATGTACAAATTCCATCATTCCGGGCTTATGTTACTCACAGTTCGTATCAATTATTCCTTGTCATCGTGATAAATATATGTTCAAATCTTTATTGTAATTAATAATTTTCTAATGTTCAGGTTGTAACTAATTGAGAACCTTCAAAATAATAAAAGATGAACTCATATTATCTTGGTACATTTATCGTTTTTGCTTTGTTCAAATATCTTCACAGTTGACTTCATTACAATGTGTTTCTAAAACTAAAACCAACGCGATGATGCTGAAAAAGTGTTTAGGGGTTGCAGGTATCGACGTTCGCGAGTTGTACAGATTATACTAACGCAAGATCTTATACCAACAACTTCTATAGTGTTCGCTCTTCGAGTACGAAAGATAAAGCAAAAGACCAGATTTAGCCGTCCAAAGTACGAAATATATTTCAGGACCAAATCGCGGGCTGAAGTGAATGCTTAGCTAGCTAGTAATCGTGCACGCACGTGACACGACGGAGTAGCAAATTGCGGGGATGCTTGACCGTAAGCCTTCAGCTAAACAAGTCGACTTAAACAGTGATGGTCAGCATCCAATGTTGAGTGATGATTGCTGTGGTTAATAATTTGGGGGAATTATTTACCGCTACAAGTGTATTCAACTTTTATCTTTGACATGAATATCATAATTAGTCTACTGTCTACATCAAGTTATTACATTTGTTCCCGTAATCCCAATTTGTTTAACATAACCTCCATCTTTAGTAATTATACTGATGTGCCTGCCGTTTAACATTACAACTAAAGAGAAAAAAGGAACAAATCCAACAAGAGAGAAGAAACGTCAGTCTGTCAATGAAACTGTAACCTGTGAATCAATTCAACAAGGTCAATAAATTATAACTGAATTTCCATTGAAGTCTAATGTTAACTTGAGTCTAAAAAATGTCAATGCATACCAGTTTCATACATTTGTTCCCCTTAATGAATTTGAACAAAGCAACAACTACAGTTTTAGCAGAATAAAATGGTACTATCTTTTATTTCGTCGCCTTCTCTTCAGCTGCGTACAGGGCGAAAACATTATTAAATATATCTACAAAAACAATTTAACATACTTGCACAGAGTTCATTTTAAACAGAAATCAATCGATCACCAATAATATATACTTATATATATGCAATATTGAACACAATTCCGAGCAATACTAATCATACAAAATGAAAACTTTTCAGTATCTCTCATTAGGATGAAAAATATCCAGTTTCCATGGCAAAGAAAGACTGATAACCGCTTCTTTCTGAAAGCACAAATCAGGTTTTAGACGCTTGATGGAAATGGCTTCAGCAAACTTAAGGAGAATTGAGATCTTTTGCTTACTGATAATTTTGAACGACTTTTCGACGTCCACCTCATGACCCGTGTCAAGAAGATGCCTGGCGATGGCACTGTTTAAAGCATTTGTTCCCTTTAGACGTAAGCTTTTTGTTACATGTTCAGAAAATCGTAGATATGCTCTTCTTTCTGTTCTTCCAATGTAACTGCTCCCGCAGATACATGTAAATTTGTATATACAGTTGGAGTTAACATGAGAAGGATATCTGTCGATTTTTGATTGCACCAGAGAGCAAGTTGTTCGAAAGACGGGAACGAGCTTAGCTGCAGGATAGGCTATGGCTAGTGATGTACTCAGCCTTCTGTTGATCATCGCTGCAATGTTTTCGTCTTTATAATCAAGCTAGAAGTAGATTGGCTTTTTTCTTACTGTGATTTGTTTTTCATTTGCGACTGCAGATCTTCCATACTTGCTGATGAACCTTTGAGGGTACCCATTGCTCTTCAATGTCTTTCCAAGAAACTCAAATTCTTCCTCTAGTTTCTCTGTAGAGCATACTCTTCTCGCTCTATAGTACAGAGTCTTGACCAGTGCTCGTTTATAGCTATCTGGACAAAAGCTATTAAAATGCAAGTATTGTCCTTTCCATGTGGACTTACGATAAATTGACTTTTGAAGACTACCGTCTTCTAGGCTTTCCATGGCGATGTCGAGGAAGTGGAACTTCCCGTCATTTTCATGTTCCATAGTGAACTTGATATTGGCGTGTGCATCATTGAATAATCTTAGTAAGTGTGAAGCATGACTATCATTTTTGCACACTATAAATGTGTCATCAACGTAACGACAGTAGGAAGTTGTTTCATCGATGACATGCTTCAACTTTGTTCTTTCAAGGTTGGACATGAATATATCTGCTAAAACAGGGCTAAGTGAACTGCCCATAGCTACACCATCTATTTGGCGGTAAAGAGTGTTGTCAAATTGGAATTGCACATCCATGGTGCACATCAGCAGTAGGCGTTTGAATTCCGACTCTGGCAGTTTCTTGATGGTTCCAAAACACCAAGAGCTGTATTAAACAAATATACAATTTTGGATTTGTTAACAACCTTCGCCTTCATAGAACTCATAATTATATTGAAATAGAAACTAAATACCCGAAGAAGAAGTAGCATGGTACCTAAGTTTCCACAACTTGAGATGACTCATCATGTTACACTTTTATCCTCATAAAATGTATTAACAGATGCAAGTATTTGATGCATGGCATATAGCAATAAAATGCAAGTTTCATCCTGCTTACATCTTGTCAAGCTGGACAAATCTGAATCTTCAGTGAGTGCTGGTGCTCCCCTCCCCCGCAATGAAACTCGCATTCAGAATTCATCGTTCAACAAAAACAAAAAACACTAATTCGTCATCCACTAGGCCAATAATCACTGGCTGTCAAACAGATCAAGAGCCGAAATAGGCAATTTCCTATACTTTTATTTTTTAACATTTACAGTATCCAAAACAAATTTGTACAAGTCACTATTTTTAGAAGAAAAAAAATGATGGAGAAATAACACAAAAAAGCTTAACAATGTGAAGCACTAAGAAAAATTTGTAAAGGTTTTCGTTTGAATAAATAAAATTACAATACTAAGGGTACATAATTATCACTAGAAAGATAAAAAGCATTCTATCATTCCGGTCGTAATCTCGGTTGCCTTTTTCCATATTCACCTATATCGTACTTCAAAATAAAACAGAACAATACCAGACAATCGTTTATGAGTATTCACAAAAGGTATTTGTTTATTTAACAAAAACAAAAGTAAAAGATATCGATCGCATAACAGCATAACTTAAAAATATCAGAACTAAATTTGCTTAGGTGCAACATCATTTCAATGACAGAATGCTCTTCAGTCAAGCACGTAGTCCAATTCCGACTGTTGGCTGATGAACTACTAAGCCCAGCCTGATTTCCAAGTGTTGGTTCGCAGGGATTTGATTGGTTTCAGGATTTCATTATGAACCATTGGATAGGGTCTCAGTGGCTCAATGGTCTACGAGGTTGCCTTGTAACCAGAAAGTCCTGGGTTTGAACTCTGGTGGTAGGTGCGTATTGCGAAAAGTCACAAACTAGGACGAAACAGTTGTCCAATACTCCCAGTGGCCCTCTAACCGATGTCAGTTCATGATGAAATCCTGAAACCAGCTTGGCTTACTGCCGAGAAGTAAAACCGAAAAGTAGGGAAGGTTCAACATGAGGCTAGCCACCTCATGCCGTAAAAATAACACCACCGCTACTGAGACTTTCAGACTTAAAGCTCTCTGTTCCGCTCGGAACACTCCTAACAACACTACCAACCACAGCAGACTTAGTGACGACCCTAGGATCGAACAGTACAGATCAATGTTGAAAATACGCGTTCCTCACAGATACCAATACTCGGATATGCCTGTTCATGCAAACACCCTCCATAACATGCTATACCGAAATGTAGAGATTTTGTTTTCAGTACCAAGTAAATGCTGACTAGTGGTTTCGAATAAGTTACAAAATGTGGAAATTTTCATTTGCTATAGGTCTTACTACTTTTTGTTTAAAATTAATTTTTACATAACGCTTACTTCAAACTAAGCATATTTTGTTCGGTTTTTATGCCGTTCAGAGAGAAATATAAACGACGAATACATTTTTGCGAGAAATTTATCTGAATCTGTTTGAGTATTTATTCAATTCTTTTACTGATTAGTTTACCTATTAAGATATACTGCTAGTGGATTGACATGTGTATACGGAAGTCACTCGAGCGAAACAGTGATGACTGTCAGCCAAACGATCATTTATCTCAAGTATTGGTTTGTAGGGATTTGGTTGATCGGTTACAGGATTTCATCATGAGCTGACATTGGTTAGAGAACCATTGGAAAACCTGGGAGTACTGGATAGCTGTTTCGTCCTAGTTTGGGACTCTTAATCAGTGTGCACCCACCAATCGGGTGGATCGGGTCCCAGTGGCTTAATGGCCCTGAGTTCGAACGCCGGTGGGTGCGTACTGATGAAGAGTCCCAAACTATGATGAAACAGCTGTTCAGTACTCCCAGGTTTTCCAATGGTTCTCTAATCAATGTCAGCTCATGATGAAATCCTGTAACCGATCATTTATCTCGTTTGGGACCAAGATAATCAATGGTGTTCAAACCAGCTCAAACAGCCGAGTAAGTTCAAACCTCCCGACTTCTGACTAGCTAATTGGGCGAACTGGTAAAGCCATAAACCAAATTTGCTCTTTATAGTTCACACAGTTCAAGGTGAAATTTCAGCGATAAAGGAACTTCAAGTGGATATAGAGAAGACACAGGTGATGAAGACGACCAACCAAAAACAAAAAGCACCAATTACTATCAACAGGAGGAATTTGGTAATGAAGTTACTTCTTCCACTTATCTGAGCCTCAACAGCATATCTCTATTTCACCCTGTTATCTGAGACTGCCCATAAGGTCTCACCTCCTTTTCACACGATTTCCTACATGTCACTCTCGGACACCATTTTCCATTCGGGTGCCACTTGTGGGCCGGCAGCACAATGTCACTCGATGGTCTTCGCAGTGTGTATTCTATCCATCTCCATTTCCTTCTGCATATTTGTTAACCAATAGGTTCTTGGTTGGTTCTTTACCACAATCCCCTGTTGCTTATCCTTTCAACCCGGCCGTCTGAACCTCAGTATTGAGCCAGCCAAGCCAGATGTTAAGGAAAGTAGGAAATTTGTTGGAAATGCTTTTCGTCAGCCAAAGGCCAAGTTTCTGAACCATATCAAAGAACTGACTCAACATTACTGTTGAAAATCTGAATCTTGTTTCTTATTCTGAGTGCAGCAGATTTCCATACTGATTTCATACTAATAAGGGTCCAACTTGCTTTTCTGATCCTGCCTTTGATATCTTCATCCGTGTCACCTGTAGTTGAAACGAAGCTGCCGTAATAAGTGAGATAAGTAGACTGATTCAAATTTCTCCCGTTGATTGTGAATGGTGCTTGTTTTTATTGGTAGGTTATCTTACTTACCTCTGTCTTATCGATGTTCACTTGTAGTCCTGTTTTCGTTACCTCTAATCAAATTGAATCCCAGTCAAAATCTAGCGTACACAAAAACAAACCAAATGAAAGTTTGAACTTCTATTCGGAAAAGTAAGAGAAGACACACGACGGTTAATAATATGAACCGAGGAAAAACATGTTGTTTTGGTGGATGGTATGCACCTCATCTTATTTGGGGTTAAATCTGGTGTTTGAAACGATGGGTGTGGGGGTCGAGTCTCAGCGGGAACACTATTACTCATTGGGAGTGCAGGTACATCTAGCTGTCGAGTGCTAAATAAGATTTCACTGAGAGACACCATCTATCAAATAATGACATTTTAATCTCCAGACATGACCAAGGCGTCCATAGTAGTAGCCGACATGTTGGCATAGACCGAACATTCCGGTTCAATATAATCAATCAAGGGGAAATACAAAACTAAATTATGCGAACGAATTTGTAAGTCAGGTTTCTAACAACTCCAAAATAATCGTGAAGGGGAACAGTTTGATCCAACTAAGACATTCTAATCACTCTGTATACTCAACAAAGATTTATCACTTTGACTTTTTCCAGAAAAATACCAAAAATGATGTCTAAATTGACAGTGGAAGCTTTGCGAATGGAAACATATGGTCTGGAAACCATTAAAATTACCAGTAAACCAAATATTCACTATTATATCAGCGCTGTGCGTCGGTGACTCAGTGGTAGATTGCTCTCTCTGTCAACCACGCAAATGGTTAGGGTTCGATTCCCAACCGATGCAATCCTACACTACACTTACCCTATTGGCTGATACTAGGCCTGAGAAACGGGGGAGATTGGAAGTGAGGCTAACGATTCCACCTGGTACAAATGACTCCATTGTTACTGACACTTCAGGGAGTAGGGTTCTATGTTCCAATCCGGACTGGCAGCAGTAATACTTAATTAAAGTTAAACTCCATAGAAGTCAAAAGCTTAAAGTGCTGTCAAATACATTTTTACATTTTAGCATAAAAAAAAAGAAAAATAACAATAACCCCATAGATTAACTTACCCCTGATCTATCAAGACGATCTTTTCTCACATAATTATGCACATACTCTGTTAACGCAGGCATACCACTAAGCGTGAACATTAAATATGGTATTCCAAGATAAATTACTCCACGCAATACTTCACGTTTCCAACGTGACATTACCTCTGGAAAAAAATTTTAAATAGCAATTACTCATTCATTTATTAAAACACAAACTTGGTGCATTATCTGCACCGACAGATGAGCCATACAAAAACTTCGTAGTTGGTTTGAAGGCTAAGACACTGCCCGGACGCCCAGATCGAAGCAGATGGTCGTGTTTCCAACCACCCCCTCCCCTCCCCAGCCTTTCACTTGAAATCTCATCCATAAGGCAGTAGCGAAGCATCAAACGCTACATCCCTATGGTTTCTGGTGACTAAAACAGGTTCATATGCCACTTGACCCTTTCAGATTCTGTACAGCATAGGCATGGAATTAGGGTTTCCTAGCATCCCTAGGTAGATCTCGATGTCCACCAGTTCTGTTATATGCACTAGATATTCGTATTCTCAAGTATTGGTTTGGTAGGGATTTTGTTTAATTGTATGGAGGATTTCATCATGAGCTGACATCAGTTAGAGAACCACTGGAAAACCTGGGAGCACTGGACAGCTGTTTCGTCCTAGTTTGGGACTCTTCAGCAGCACGCGCCCGCCGGGATTCGAACCCAGGACCTTCTGGTTACAAGGCGAGCTCGTAGACCATTGAGCCAAAGCCTATCCACCCTCGACCGCACCTGGTTGTTTATGATGGTCAAAATAACAACTATGTGTGTTGGTGCATTAAAACTACCCTACTGACTAAGTGAAATTTATACTTTTCCTTAACACAGATTCACGGGGTAAAAACATGTGATGATAAGATAAGCAGTTATTCCAATAAAAATACACTACATGACAATCATTACAACACAAAATGTTAAACAATACAGGAAACTTATCAACATCCTGAGCAAAAATATGAGAATGCGATTTGTCCCAATCAAATGTAAAATAATGCCACAGGAATGATCTGCACCGATTAAGTTTAAGGATAACTAGTGAAATGAGTGAATGTGTATGGACTACCCCTACATATTTTAGAGTTTGTACCAGACTTAATAAACGAGTTAATGATAAAAAACTCATTTTATGCTGATTCATCAGTCAGATAAGTAGACAGTTCTGCAGCACAACTTCTGATCAAAATCTAAAAAATGGCATTTATTCTCTAGTCAGAAAATTCTACATATCCTTCGTCAGCATATATGTAGAGCAAAACGGCTGATACCTTCAAAAATTCAAACCTAGACAAGCATTACTGAGTTCGAACCTGAAGTCAACCCCTTGAAAAGAAGTCACAACCACACAGAAGAAAGTACACACACAGAGAGGCGTATGGGGTAGTACAAACATTCAGTATTTAACAAATGACAAAAACTGAATTTGAACGATTTTAACCCATATCACAAAGAATCTCCAACCAATATTTCTTAAGATCCCAAAGACCCTACCCAAGCAGTGTAGGGTCAGCGATATCATAGACTAGTACCATGTTTCAAATAGACCACCACTTACTCTTTTCTAATCGAATCCCACTTCAGCTAACACAGCCCATCAGTTAAAGCGATGGTTTTCAACATCACTAGTAAATGTTACAAGGATCTCAAAGGAAGTTTTACAACACTAATCGATTTTCTATAATCTTACACTGCCTAAAATTAGGGTTACTTTATAATACTCTATCTTCAGATATACCAACCATATGAATTACAGAACGACAACCAACTAACTAGTCATTATACAAGCAATTTTACGAACTACTTTCCTACCATCTTATTCGTTTATGACATGAATATCACAAGCTTTTACCCAACCCCCCCCCCCCCCCGCCCGACCCAGTCCTTATGAATCAGACTGTTAAATTTTCTGTTCAAATTCATTTCTCTGAACAGCTGTTTCATGTTCCAGGTTAGGAGCTCCACCTGTTGTACGAGGGATGACAATATTACGTAGTAGTAGCTCAAGCTGAAGTACGTGGAGTGAGATTCAAATCTGGGACTCAATGACTATAAGTCAAGAGCTTAATTCAATGGGCTGTTATTTGTTTCCAGGCATTCAGTGGGAATCCGTGGACCTAGGTTTCCTGCTTTTTGGCACTCGTTAACACTCCTAAAAGGATTGATATCTGCGTCTATATCACACAGTATTATAGTCGGAGACACTAAATAGACTCAGTCATTATGTACCCGAAGAACGCATAGATAACTAATTCGTAAAACCTCAAGAATTTTGTGCGACCATTGCTACAACCTATACAATGATACCGTTGCAGTTAACCCGACTTTCTGTTAAACTGTTTTATATGTTTATGTTCTAAGGTGGTCAACAAGTTCAAATGACAAGCGACAGAAAACTACATGAGTATAAATGTAAAAATTAGTCTACAAGCACTCCATGTGCCCAAAAGCTTTTTTGACACTGAAAATTTTAGAAATTCAACGCTTTCATAGCTATATACATTAAAATATAATATGCATGAATATAATTATATTGATACAAACGCTTCATGGGTCATCTGTTGAATGGAGCTATTGTCTATTAATATACAGACAACACATGAATCTCCTTTTCGTCATTAACTACTTTCGTGGTACAATCTAATGATGATATTTAGCACTTCCAGTTAATGAGTAAAAGGTTCAAATTTCACTCCACCTATTTCGATAGGACATCCTAGATGCTACCACTCACCCTGTACACAAAAAAGTCTATTCAACGTAACTTAATTAAAGTTTATTTGTAAAGTAGTCAGAAACATAACAAATATGCGCAAGTGTATGTGAGGTGTAATAAATACATTCATTGTAAATTTAGTTTCCAGCTTATTTTTAAATGTAACTTTAACTAAAGGTATGATTTTTTTTTCTTAATTTTTGATTACAGCTTGATGCCACACTGTATTTTCAGTACAAGTATGGAATTTTCAGCATGGATATCGGTAGCCCAAATTTTGCTGGCTGACCATAGATATCGGGTGTGCGTCAGCAGGGGATCGAACCCCGGACCATGTGCATGGTCGGCGAGAGTCCTAACCACTGTGCCACCGACGCATTGTGGGATGAAACTGAGGCAAGCAGCATTTTATCTCCTTAATTCTATTTAGCATCTACTTCACATGAATTTGTATGGCTATGAAAAGTCTGATAAAATTTTTGGATCCTTCCTGAAGAATCTCAATATTATCAAGATAGACTTCGTGAAATGCGTGCAGTTATAGGTAAACGCTGGATGAATGTCCTACAGGGTTCAGTCTTTTCACAATAGATTTTGCACATCATACTTGATAATGAATCCTGTAAAATAATATTTTCCAAATAAACTATAGTTCCCATGACTCCACCAAGGATGTAACCTTTAGGTTACAACGCCAACTCATTAACCAATCAGTCACCGGGAAAGAATCTAACGGCCCATCGATTCTAACTTCTGACAATTCGCCGTATATGTAGCGCGACTGTTATCCAATGTCCTCAGCGAGTATTCGTCCTCGTCTAAAAGTTGGCGGACTTAGCTGGTCATGAATTCCCACTAGAACCTCAGGCAAATTCATCCTGTGGTCAGTCAATATTGCACAATAGACTAATTTCCAGGCGGCGTCATGGGTGTGTACTAATGAAGAGTCCCAAACAAAGATGAAACAACTGTCCAGTACTCCCTAATTCCTGCTTCTTCTTTAGATGAAATCAGTCTACGATCAGTCTTAAAATCAATCGAATCCCAGCAAACATACACTTGTAAAATAAACTACTTGATAGTAGATTCACTTTTTCTAAAGAAAACTATGATATCGCACTAGTCGACAACTCCAGTTCATGGGAAAGGCATCGGCGATTGGCAACACCAAACACAGGTCCTCCGTTTTGTTTTGTTCTCCGTTATTACTATTCCTTTGTCTCACACCTCTGTTTACTGACTATATTATGCATGTCTTCTACTTTCTTCTCTTGCTTTGTGTGCTACATGGAGTGTGGCAACTTGAACTGGCGCACATATGTGCAAAGTTCTATGTTGAAAACCGACCGACCGACCGACCAGTTGATGGAGTCTGAAGTATGCGAGCTGTGTAGAATGCCAAATATTGTCATTTATGATTTTTCCAAAGAATTTTACTGGCCACCTATTTTGATCACATTCTTTTTCATTTCTATTAAACATATGTATTTTCCCCTGAAAGATTGTAGTAAAACGGTAACATACAAACACTAGTAGAGTGACTGTTTCGTGTCACGCGCCTGTAAGCAAAATCACCTTTCCGATGTTACTGATAAGTCATCAGTGTAAATTAACCAAATTTTTGACTCAAAATTTACTCATATGCATGTTTGATACTATGGCCGATACGCTTCATAACTCATAAAAAGTTTTACGAGTTGGTCACGGACTGATATCAGTTAGAGAACCATTGAAAACCAGGGAGTACTGGACAGCTGCTGTTTCATCCTAGCTTGGGAATCATCGGCAGTACGCACCCACTGGGTTCGAATCCCAAACCCAACAAACCAAACTATAGAAAATCATAAAAAGTGCCCATTAAGAAGCGCCTATCTCATAATAATAGATATGGAATGGATTTCCAACTATCAGTTACAAAGTAAACATTTTTTGATATAAGCATCAGTGGTCCAGCTGTAGAATAATACTTGCCACCAGCCACGCATGTGGTCCGACGTTCAATTCTCCGTCGACTCACACCCACAATCTCATCTAGTTTACTTACCGGTAGTAGTCCCGGGCCTTGGTATGGGGCTAGTAAAAACAACACCACTGCTACTGAAATCTCAAGGCTTCAAGCTAGATTGGACACTAATGTAACACGTATGACTTCCATACTCGATTTTTCAGTCAATAGGTTACACGTTCAACTCCCACTTCAACTACTTCAACATAGCTAGGACAAGTGAGAGAATATGATCAGCTCTCACGCATACACTGAGAGAGAGAAAAAAAATAATTGCAGCTCTTAGCCTGGTGTACATGAAAGATCAGATCCGAGTTATTGAATGCGAACAAACCAAAATACATGATGAGAACACTGTGATACACACTAAAAACATCCGAATTTATCTACCTGAACAATAAGCAAATCTTATTGCTTGTAGAATATTAGTCACACTAACTTGTTGCTATCCAGGTGAAATCATTAGTTGAAGGAACAAACACAAAATAAACAATAATTACACTATAATAAATTATAAGAGAAAATGATTGAAAGCAATATTCATCTAAGGATTAATTTATTTACATTATTATGTACAATATATACAATATATATATATATATATATATATATATATATATATATATATACTACAAAAAAACTTTACATATTGTCATGTAATTATTTTTAAAAAAAAGAGTAGTGTTTGCAAAGACGGCAATATACATCGGATCAATTAGACAGATTCAACCGGAACAGGTATCCACTTTCGTAGTAACTCATCATTATACAATTCATCCACAAATGCGCATAAATCAGCTTTAATCTTCTGTAGTTCAAGAAAACAAAACAAAGAGTAGCATCAAAACAATAAATACTACAGTCAAGGAAAACACTATCAAAGTCTACTGATCAACCATGTATAGTAAATATGTGTGAAATCAAAAAGAAAAGTCTACTTTTTAGGGGGTTCGTTTTGCAGGGAATCGATTGATTTCAAGGTTGATTACGAAGTGATTGTAGTTAGAGAACTACTGAAAACCAGGGAGTACCTACTAGACAGTTGTTTTATCTTTCTTTGGGATTCGTTAGCAGTACGGCACCCTAACTAGCTCCCAGGATAGACGATCGGAATGTAGGAAGCAACATTTTGAGGAGCAGTTAAACTGGCTTACAGCCACGCTCAAAATGCACAACATCCAACACCTCTATATGAATGGGATGTCGACATTGGTCCTCATACTGTAACTCAAGTTACAAAGGCTCTCTTTATAATTTGAAACGAGGCATAGCAGCAAAACCTGATGGAATTACTGAAAAGGTGTCTAAGGATGGTGGTAACATAGTGCTGTCTGGGCTAAGTTATCATGCAACGTTTGGGAATCAGATATAGTCCCGTTGGACTGGTTTAAGTCATTGGTCATCCCAGTATACAAGTCTTCGTACGATAAGCATAGGGGGATTAGTATGACTAAAGCCTTCTGCTCAATAATTATGTGTAGATTAAGTGGTACTTGGGACACACAAATCCGAAAGAACTAGACAGGTTTGGGATCGGGTAGAAGGTGTATTGGTCAAATTTTCAAACTTCAACAAATTCTGGAACACAGGTAAATTTACCGGCGTCCAACAATTGTCACATTTCCTGGTCTGAAGGTAGTATTCGACTCCGCTGACAGAAGGGTATTACGGCAGTTTTGCTGTGAAGTGTGTTTTGACAAAGTAAAATCGCACTAGTCAAGTTACTCTACTCAAACTCACTCACCATAGTGAACAAATTCTACTCTTAAAACTGGCTATTACTAGTATAATACATGTGATATGCCTTTTTATCGAAAGAAGTTTATGTTTTCACAAGCACAGACCACCAGACTTGTCGTTTGACTTTACTGTGAAATCAGCGTAGCAGAAGGTACTTCAAGGAGAACAAGTGAGTATTAATTATATTGCATTCGGTATCAAACCCAAATCCTAACATATTACTTTCAACAGATATAACAGATTTGAAATATTACCGATTCTATTGCATAGTGGCTATTCGCAGTCTGAGTGCATTTAAAGATACACCTCCATCTCCCTTCGCATCAAATTAAATTCGTTTTAGATCATCTTTGCGAAGTTAACTTCTATACTTTCTAACTGAACAGGAAGTAATTGTGTTTCCCCACTCAGTAAAATTATAATATGCACATGACATTTTGTCTTAGAATAACACTGCAGTAAGCATTTCACCATTGATGTTTTAAAAGTGATATTTTCAAATTGGTCTGTATATAAATTTGTTTTTACGAGTTTGACCACGGATTGATATCAGTTAAAGAACCACTGGAAACCAGCAGAGAGTACTGGACAGCTGTTTCATCCTAGTTAAGGGATTATCGGCAGTACGCAGACACCACAGCAGGTTAGAACCCAGGACCTTCCAGTTACAAGGCAAGCTTACATACTATACCATTCAACCACTGGGACCCGATTCAATGGCCAGCCTATGAATTTTAACTTCTACCCAGTGGATGCATACTGCCGATGATTCCCAAATTAGGATGAAACAGCTGTCCAGTACTCCCTGGATTTCAATGGTTCTCTAACTGATTTCAATCCGTAGTCAAACTTGTAGAAACAGATTAAATCCTTATAAACCAACACTTGAAAACTATATATATAAATGCCATCTTTGAAGAAAAGAATATAAAATAAAAATCAACATTGAATTGAAAGTTTGACTGCTAAGGTTGACAAGAACTTAACCTTAACATTTTTTCGATTATTTACATAATCGAAAACAGTACACACAACACGAGTAGATTGTAAATCAAAACAAATAAATAATAAAGAGAAAGAGATGAAAATACTCACTTCAATTTCTTTAGCTCTTTTCTTCTCATCAATTTTTTTATAAGCTTTGCAAAGACGTTGTTCCAATTTTTGTCTTTTTCGTATGGCTGATATACACTTCCTGTGAATAACTGCTTCAATTTCTTTCAAAGGATCTTTTTCAGTAGTTGCCTTTTCTTCAGTTGGTTCAACACGAGTCTTTGCTCGTTTCACCGGAGATTTCGGAGTCGAGGGAGATGTAATGCCAGATAATTTTTGACTGCCTCTATTAGCCGTTTTAGCAGTTACATCCAACTTACGAGGACTAGATACATGAAGATAAAAGCCGGTTCAGTGAAATACTACCCGAAGCGTACACAAATATTGTTTAAGAGTTAAATGAAATGGAATTTTACTCAATAACAACTTGGAATTCCATGCATTTCGAAATGAGCTACACCTATTGTACGATGGCCAGTGATAGTATCTGATGGCTGCATAAACTTCAGTAGGTGGATTGAGGCTCAAACGTTTTACACACTGATTGACAGTCAAATGCTGAGACAGATAACCCACCACAGGTGAGAATACACCTATTGAGTTTAGTATTCCAAATGCCTTAACAGTTCATATGAGATAGTCTACAATCTTAGTCATATCTCCAAACTTCAACACACTAATTACCTGCCTTAAAAGTAAAGGTAAGAGTACTAAGTGCAACAGATACTCAATAAATAGTAATAATAGAACGCAGACGGGAATTAGTTTCTTTGGAATATGATTTTAATCAGAAGTTGCAAATGGGACATGCAACCCATTTCACTGTAACTTGAACACAATTTTCTTTCAATGCGTAGGGTAAAGTCGATAATGGCAACAACACATCTTTGTCTGTTTGACAGTATTTACACGAAAAGTGATTCATATAATTGATATCTTTTTTAACATTCATTTGCGTTCCAAGTAAAATGCAGGGCTTCAAGCGTCAACTTTGTAGTTTCAGTAGCAGCGGTGCTTTTTTATTTCATCTTACGGAGTGGAATTTCTAGTCTCACACCCAACCTTCCCTGTTCATCGTGGTTACCACCTACTGAGCGAGGTTTAGAAGTAAACCGGTGAAGTGAGCAATCTACCACTGGACCACTGACGTCATATAATTAATTGAAAGCTGTAATTGTAATTAAAAGAAAGATGAGAATTGCTGACAATAGGCGTTAAGTATAAATTACAGCTCAAATATACTCCAACTGCACACGGTTAGTGAGTGCGAAAGTCACTGGAGCCAGTAAATATTCGAGTCCCTTATAAGTACCAAGTAAGTCTACAAAACAGGAAATGTTACCTATACCGATGAATAAGAGATTATACATTATTATTATTATTATTATTATTATTATTATTATTATTATTATTATTATTATTATTATAGATTACAGCACATTTTACTGTGATACCGGTCAATACAGACCCACCAATCGAAGCGCAGGTCCGAAAATAAATCTAATGAGGAAGAGCCACTAAGCAACCTGCCTAGACAATCTACTCCCAGCTCTTTTTAAAGGTGATGGCGTGGTTCTTGTCATGGCTCTGACTGGATTGTTCAGGACGGTATGGGTAACTGAGGATGTTCACCCAATATGCAGTGAAGCTAACATCATCCACATCTTTTAAAAGAGTCAACATGACACCAGCGACAACCACAGGGAAATTTGTTTGCTACCAGTTGCCTCTAAAATTCTGGCTGCTGCCTTGCTTCGCAGGCTGTGTAAAACACGCGAGGAGTCGATTCGCGAAGAGTAGGCTGGGTTTCGTTCAGTCCGCGGATGCATCAATCATGTGTTCACCCTTCCATAAGTTATTGAACACCGTCACACGTATCTGCAGACCAACAATCGTTATGTTTCTTGATATTAGGGCTGCCTACGATTCGTTGAACAGAAGTGTTATCTGCAATTATCTATTAGAGAGGGGTGTACCTAATAAGTTTGTTAACACCCAGAAAGCCCTATGCAGAAATACCTCAGATAGATTGAGGACATACAACCAGTTATCATCACTGTTACCAACCAACATGGGGGTTAGACAAGGTTGCCCAATCTCTCCATTTCTCCTTAGCTTCGCCATAGATGATATTTTGGAGTCAGCTCTGAAGGACGTACGTGGTGGTTGTGTATTTCCGTCTCCTGGAGAAAGACTTTTTGACCTCGAGTATGCAGACGATATTGTCTTACTGTACGATAGCATGCAGGCTGCCCAAATCACACTTAATCAGTTGGCGATTAGTGCCTGTAAGTACGATATGTACTTTGCGTCGTCTCAATGCAAATTACTGTTACAAGATTCGCAGGAGCCTGTACCCTCGCTCACCCTTACAAGTGAGCCACTAGAAGTTGTCGTGTATCTGGGCAGTTCTGTGGGTGCTGGTGGAGGTGCGACAGACGAGATTTCCAACCGTGTCATGAAACCTACGGTGGCATATATCAACTTGAGCAACCTCAGGAGCTGTGGCAACTTCAGCCTGGCTGTCGAACGTCGGCTCTACAATGCTTCAGTGCACGCAGTTTTGCTCTATACTTGTGAAACTTGGCCTCTCCAAGCTGAGGGTGTGCGACGACTCCGTGTACTCGATCGACGCTGTCTCTGTGGAATTGCTTGCGTTTGGTGACATCATCGTGTGTCTGTACACAGTGGAGATCGCCATTCATTGAGTGTCATCATCTGGAAACACCGGCTCCGGTGGCTTGAATATGTGCTATGAATGTCATCCCAGCGGCACCCGTGCCGGTTTCTGTTCGGTAGCCCTGGGGACGGATGGAAATAGTGGAGGGGTGGTCGAGCACATGACGTGGCGTCGTGTAGTGAAGGATATCTGTGGTAGGTTAGCATGAGTTAGTATATCACGAATCCCAAGAGATAGTTCAAATCGATGGCTCAAAACGTTATCGAGTGTGGCCAAGAATCTCAATCTATGGCAAACGTGCTGCGATTTCCTTCTTTCTTCCCTTGTTGATAATAATTCGACGAATGCTCTTTAGTCTTGTTAAATGTAAGTGCTTCCTTCCCAGATGAAGTCCTTTATTCATTCTCTACTTATTTTTCCTTAAGTTATTTAATATTTCTTGTGGCCCATCCTCTTGGTGCCGGTGTAGTGTATGATATTTTGTGTTTTAAATGAAGAAATAAAACTGTGACACCTTGATAGCTGCTAAGTCAACCAACATCAACATCTACTTTGTATAAAAGAATACTGATATACTTTTTGAAAATAAATTAGTTAGGACGACCTAATGACACATCAATCCTGCATAAAAATTACTTGAAAACCAACCTTAACATACAAAAACGGAACTCTGATTCTCTGAAACCTGTGAGAATAAGCGAATCGAGTTACAAACAACTTGTCAGTGATTCAACAAACCAATGTCATTTAGTTGTACATCTAAGGTAAAGTGACAGAATGCTCGCCAACAACAACGCACGTGATTCGGGCTTGATTCCCAACCGGCACACTCTTAATCTTCGCTTGACTGATGATAAATCCGGTGAGGAGGGAGTACTGGGTGTAAGACTAGCGACCCCACCTCATCAAATAAAGTAAGAAAAAATACCACCAATAGTGAAACTTCTAAGCTGAAGCTAGGAACGCATAGGGATAAAAAAAACTGTTACTTAGCGTTTAGGACGATGGCTGCTCAGTTCGAGTTCCAGTGCAAATACCTGAATTTCACCCTTGACCTACGCTAACCAAGTAGGGCGAACACTAATAGAAGACGGAATGAAGGTCATCTGGATTGCATTCTACCGTATCGCAAGCTTTTCTTTTAACTTTCACTATCCCACTACTCCCATTACAAACAGAAGATAGTTAAATTCATACTAAAACTCGCCTGATTAACTAGCTCGCTAGTTTTCTAACCGGTCCCAAGCCCGGGTAAGGAGGGAGGGTTGGGCGTGGGGCTAGCAACCTCACACCACTAAATCTTTCAAACCGCTAGAGAAACTTCAACACACAGGAAATATATTAAAAATACAAAAACTTCAAATAACAACAATCTTATTCTTTACTCTAATCGGAGAGGCAAAATGACACAGCGGGCTGGTGAAAGCCAGACTTCAGAAAGCCAGTCAGTCAATGCGTCTTCTCTTGATGAAAGCAAGAGTAAGAATGGGTACGTGGAATGTCTGTACAATGTACGGGACTGAGAATGCTGCCCAGGTAGCCAAAAAGATGCGAAGATATGGCTTAGAAGTACTAGGTATCTGCCAAAGCAGATGGAATGGATGTGGATTGACAACATTGTCAACGGGAGAGTCAATAATCTACTCCGGCCACCTAGACGACAACCACGAACATACTGAGGCAGTAAGTGGCTATCACGATGTCACCAGGGGTAGCCAAAGCCCTAATGCAGTGGGAACCAATCTCCTCTCACAGGATCATGACAGCAAGATTCAACTCAAAAGGAAGGAAAGTAACAATTATCCAATGCTACGCACAGTGCTACAAACAACGTGGAACAAGAAAAGAAGGAGGATCTTACAGACAAATACAAACAGTAATGGACAGCATCCCAAATGGTGACATCAAAGTCTTTATGGGCGATGTGAATGCCAACTGAACTGGGAGCAGATAATACAGGAAGAGAACTCATCACGGGTCGAGAGGTTGACGCTCGGAGAAATGAATGAGAACAGAGAATTATTCGCAGACTTCTGCTCTTTCAACGATTTGGCGATCGGAGGGAGCATGTACAAACACAAGGATATACACAAAGCAACGTGGATTTCGCCTGACGGATATACCACAAACCAAAAGATTTCATATAAATACCGCTCAATGAAGTGGAGACGCAGATATCCTGCTGGATAATGAGTCGAGAAGGGGAGCAGATGTGGACTCAGACCATCATCTAGTTCAAAGAACCTCCAGAGTGAAGCTGAAACCCATGAAAACAAACGGAGGCAGACCACTACTCAAGTTCAACATTCAGAAACTAAGGGAAAAAACTATAGGGGAAACCTTCGCTATAGATCAGATCAGAGCAAAGTCAGGCACACCACGTGGCATCACTGAGCAAACCTGTATGGAAGAACATTGGAACTCTCTGAAAGCGATATTTAAAGAAACGTGTACAACTGTTATAGGAAGAAGGAAAAGACACGACAAGGAATGGCTCTCAACGGACACCTACCTGGAAGCTAATAGAAGAGAGGAGGATGGTGAACGAGAAGATGACTCAATGCAAAGATGCACAACAGAAGGAGAAGCTGAATTTAATGTACACTGCACTGAATAAAGAAAGAAGTGAAGAAGAGTGCTAGAAAAGACAAACGACAATTCTACAACACACTGGCCGGCAACTGAAGCAGAACAGGCCGCAGGCAAAAGAGACATCAAGGCACTATATCCAATAACCAAGTCTCTATCCAGGAAGAGATCAACCCGGATGATGAAAGCAGTAGAAGATGCTCAAGGAAACTTGATCACCAAGGAGGAGAAACAAATCAAACAATGATCAGATCACTTTGAAGGGCTCTGGAATCGACCACCACCGGCAACTCGCCCAGAAATACCACCAACAGCACACACGGAAAGGCCTGCCAACGGACACCACTCCTCCAACGAAAGAAGAAATTATGAATGCGATCAAGCTACTGAAGGCAATCCGGGAAGGCAGCAGGACCAGACGGCATCCCTCCCGAAGCACTGAAGATGGCACCAGAGATTACGGTATATATTCTCACTCCATTACTGCAAAAAGTTTGGAAAGAAGGAAAGGTGCCTACTGATCAGAAGAAGAGCTGGCTACGTCATCAAACTGACAAAGAATGGTGATTTAGACAAGTGCAAGAACTGAATGGCGTGGAATCGTGCCAATCTTGTCCACGCCAAGTAAAATACTAAGTCTCTTCATCCTGGAGACAATAAAGGGTGCACTGGAACAAGCTGGACTCAGGAAAGGCAGGCGAATCATGTGCTGATCAAATTGCAACTCTACACATCATCATTGCCATCGAACAAAACACAAAATGGCAGTCAAACCCGTATCTCAATTTCGTCGACTTCGAAAAGGCCTTTGACAGCGTAGACTGAGAAGTAATCTGGAAACTATTTCAGCACTACGGCGTACCTCAAGTCTTTGTCAACCTCATTCAACAGCTGACTTTTTGACAATGCAGTGTGTCAAGTGATCCACAACGGAAAACTCAGTGAGGCGTTCAAAGTGCATACAGGAGTAAGACAAGCTGGTCTCCAACCCATTTTCACCAATGATATTCTAAATTGTGGTGGACTGGATTACGCGTTAGACTGTGCACAGGGAGTGAGAAGACAAGAATATGTTGAACGACAGATGAAAAGACTCTAGAAGACTTGGATTTCGCGCTTGGATGATTTATGTCTGATGTCACACAAACTTGAAGACTCGCAAGCGAAAACCAACAAACTGGCTGTAGAGGCAGGCAACGAAGGCAGAACTCCAAGCGAACATAGGGAAGATGGAGGTGATGAAGATAACCACTCACTATCAACAGCAACAACAACCAGCATTAACGGAAGAGATTTAACAGAGGTTACTTGCTTCACTTATCTAAGAAGCATCGTTTCAACCACATGCGGAACGGACGAAGATGTCAAAGTCAGAATCAGAAGGGCAAGGCAAGATATGCCTTTATCAACCTGAAACCAGTTTGGAAATCTTCTTCACTCAACGTAAGTAGCGAGATTCGCATTTTCAACACCAATGTGAAGTTGGCTCTTCTATACGCGTCAGAAACTTGAACTGCGTATGACGAAAAGGATTTCCAACAGGTTACAGACTTTCATCAACAGCTGCCCGCCTCGCTAGATGGCTCCATGCTGAAGATCAAATGGCTGGCCAGAAAAGGATAAGCAACAAGAAACTATGGGAACAAACTAGCCAGGAGCCGATGGCTCAACAAATATGCAGGAGAAAGTGGAGATGGATCGGGCATATATTGAGGAGGCCGCCGAATGACATCGTACGCCAGGCCAGTGCTTTAGTGGAATCCAAATGGGAAGCGACGGGTGGGTCGTCCTGGGTGACATGGAGGAGATAGTTTGAGGAGGAAGAGATGAGAGATAGTGAGCAATCGTGGACCCAACTGAAGAGGATGGCAGAAAACAGAACAAAACTATAAAACTCAAGTTTCAAAGTCGGGTGATTACAATTGATATGACTACGAACAATAAATCTGGTTCGAAACGTCATCCGGTAAATAATACTGTTTCACTGTGTGATACATCTAAAAACAAACTAATATGGAATTACTCATTACCACAGTGCCCAAATTTTACACATATATTAGTGGAGATGTGATGTTCCACTCGGAACGTAAGGAAATAATAATAATAAATTCATACTAGAATCCTTCGCATTCATTAATCCGTAAGAAAGTTCTCAGGTGAAAATAACGCATTTTACTCATTTTGCTATACAGCTTTTAAACACTAATGGCAAGTCATTTCTCCTATATTGTTCAGTGACTTGGTGCGTCACCAAAATCATTTCCAACGGACTACTGCAGACTTTCATCAACACCTGGTTTCGCTACCTCGATAACGGAAGATTGAACGGCCTGCCAGAAAGGACTAGTAGCATAGAACTCTAACAACGAACCAACCAAGAACCAGCAAATGTGCAGAAAGAAATGGAAATAGATTGGACACACGCTGAGGAGACCACTGAGTGAAGTCACGCACCAGCGGGTCCCTGAGTGGAACCCGAGAGGGAAACAACGAGTCGTGCATCTGAGAATGACATCAAGAAGATCGTGTGAAGAGGAAATGAAAGCTTATGGTCAGTCCTTGAGCTAGATATCTGAGGCTGCATAGATTTGATTGAAATGGAAGCGTGCTACTCGGAAGCCAAGGGAATAATAATAATAAAACGACGTAAGTCTATGACTAAGGGGTTTCACAATCAAGTTAAACGAACCAATAAGGCTAAGCAAGCACAAGAGCTTCACATGATTTTAAATAGACAAGATTACTGAAATTTAACTAGGGAGCTTACATTTTTGATCGAGTGGCAGGCGTCCTGGTTACCTACAAAAGACAAATGGAGATAAATCCTGATTAAGAATACCATGAAGATATGACTGATCAAGATCACATTTACTTAGTATTCGTCATTACTCACACAATGTAATTTAGTGGGTTTAATGTACTGATCTGTATTTGAAGAAAAAAACTCAAATTATATTTAGTTTCACTTTTAGACACTGAGTCTGATTTTTCCACTTTGTCGTACAAATCTGCACTATATTTGAATAAAGCAAGAACAACAGTGGTTTGTGAAGAATAATATGGTACCATCATTTATTTCGTAGGCTTCTCATCAACTGCTTACAGCCTAAATAAATTACGAGGTTTGCGTACAGAAAAGTTGTAACATACTTGCAAATTTTACATGTTGTCAGTTGACCAAAAATTCCACAGTAAGTGAACAGTGCTCAGAAAATTGCGCTTATTTAGCTTTTACACAGGCAGTTCAAGTTTAAACAAAGCACTAAATATATAGTCCCTAGCATATCAATAAAGTATGGATTCACACCTATCTTCTAAAAAGTAAGAATTTCATAAAGAAAACTTAATTAGTTAGCTGATGGTTGCCAGGGGTGAATTTCTCAAGTACCAGATTATAAGACCTACTTATTGTGGTAGTACCATTCATTTGCCCAGAGTGAAGGAGGAGAGGTGAAATTCGAAGATAGGATTGACTAGGGGAAAGAAAAGTGCATAAACCAAGGAGGAATAGTCCATGCTGGCTCACTTTCAGTAATCCAGATTATTATAAATATAAAGCCCAGTTAACACACCTCTCAGTCGTCTTTAACCCCCTGGAGGTTGGAAAAAGTGAGGCAATCAATAAAAAACTAAATCTGCTAGTATACAAATACAAAGATATTATTACATTGAAAAAATATAACTAAGCAAGAGATCAGCTGAAAACTTTGCAGAGAAATGCATTAGTATAAGTTGTCAATGTTCGAAGTGACATATGAACCAAAGAAAGAGATACATTGATGTTATAACGGGCAAGCATGTATTCAAGAGAGAAAATAACTCCGTGAAACTTCACAGTAACAGACGGATGAGTATTAAATAATTCTAAGCCATTATAAAAGATTTTGGGCCATCTCACAACGAGTCCTCCAGCAAATAATTCTCACAGCCTTGTGAGCCTCAGGCAGTCAGTCAATCCACAGATCTATCATCAACGACTTTAAGAACAGATGCCATATTTTTCTTCTAGTCTGTTCCAGTTAAAATACAGGTTCTAGACACCTCAAATGATGAAGTTTCACAACCTTATCAGTCGACTAACTCTCATTACCTAAGACTACGCCTAACCTCACTATTACTTGTCATTTTTTATATACGTGACAGTAGCACATGAACCGAAGCGTTAGTAAATATGTATTTTATACCTGAAACGGCCGTCTCACTGCTTTGGAGTACACGTGCATTGTGTCAAGTAGCCAGATATCAGGCCTGCATCAAAGGTGATGCAAGTTGGTAAATGAAAAATGAGTCCTCTGTATTCGTGCTGAGATTTGATCACCAATTAGTCCACTGAGGTTAATTCAGCTTCTCAAATGAGTGGATTTGTCAACACATTCAAACACTTCACTGATCTTTAAATGAGGATTCAGAGTAAACCATTTCTATAGCACCAACTTACACCTGATAGGTGAAGCACTAAACACAATCAGGATTTCTATCAAGATGTTTGGATGACTATGCACTTTTTCTGAGTTTCTACCTAAAATTATCCTTTAGTTTATCTGAACTGCAGTGGGTTGGGGCATAAGCGCAGACTATGAAAAGACAACGACGGGTAACCCTATCCTTCCTACTTCTAACGGACCTGTCCGGACGCAGTGCACACGTAAGATCATCTAGTGGGTTCTATTCAGGTAGAGATTTTTCTGTCCTAAAACACAATACTATCCCTACACCTGCGAGTCCTCACGAACTAGCTGAAGAATCTCTTGACACCCGTAAGGTGAGTTTTGCAGATTCGACACGTTAGCTAGGTGGCGTTAAGTATACGTGTCTCTCAAACACAACATACATTCATGGTTCAAGATACCATAGCTCTGGCTAAGTGATGCCTGTTGTCCGATTTGGCAGAGGGTACTGACGTTGAATGCTTCTATATGAAAACAAAACACGTAGATCAGCGAAGAGTCTCTTTTTGGCGAATTCATCTTCTTAGCTGTACAATCGCAAATATATATGCATTGTTTTGTATGTATGTGTACATTAAGTTTGTCAAACAAAGCTACAATCGGTTAAGGTTAATTTTAACTAAACAGGTAAAGGTTGGTAATATAAGTCAAGACAATTAAGTGCTAGGATAGTAACAAAGGTGATGAGTTGTCACAAACAGTTGTTAAAAGAAGTTATGCAATAATAATATGAATATTTTGATGAGTGAGTTTTACTCAGGATGCACATAGAAACAAAGTAGATAATACGAAACTATGTAAGAGATCTAAGTGAATACAAGAATTATAAGCAACTAAGGAACAGGCAAAGAAACAAAATTAAGTTATCAAAATAAAATAAAAACTCAAACAAATCGAAACATTGTTACCATGAGAGTAGAAGTGGTTGAGTAATCTTCTTTTGTATGCACAGCTCCGGTTTTTCCATGTGAATGGCTAGAGCTTCAGCGATACAAAGGAGATGAAACCGTATTGCCTTTGACATGTTGTTCTTGACTCAGTAGATTACTTTGAAGGAGGCGTTCGTTGAAATGCAATGATCAGTGCTGACCAGGTGTTCAATTATCGCACTCCTTATTGCACCCGTATTGCCTTTTCGCAGCCATGCTGGATAGTGTTCTTGAATCCTCTTGGACAGGATGCGCGTCGAACGAACGATGTACCTGGCTCCACAGCAGCAGGTGAACTGGTATATGCACATAGAAGTGGCCAGATGCGGGATCTTGTCCTTGAGGCTTCTGCAGATTAGTGGGCGACTGGAGAACACTATTCTTAGCGTTGCTGCAAAGAATGTTCTTCTCAGAGATGATGTGATCCTTCTCTTGAGAATATCGCTTGCTAAATCTCCCTTGAAATCCAAGTTCATGTAGATTTTCTTTTTAGGCGCAGTCAAAGTTTCGTTTTTCCGAATTATTGGTTTCATATTTTTGTCGATAAATCTTATTGGGTAACCATTTTGGATGAATATTTCTCTCAGAATATCTAATTCTGTTTCCAGAACGTCGGGACTACAGATGCATCGGATGCGGGTAGCAAGTGATTTAATTAAATTCCGCTTTTGTTGAATGGGCACCCAGCTATAGAAGCTTGTTAGTTGACCATTCCACGTAGGTTTTCTATGGATTGATCTTCTTAGGCTCCCATCAGCTCTTCTTGTCAGTTCCACATCAAGAAACGGAATTTTTGACTCGTTTTCCATTTCAAGAGTGAATTTTATTGCTGGATGGCAATTGTTAAATGTCTTCAGCAGTAGATTGGGGTCGTTGTTGTTGTCACAAATAATGAAAATGTCATCCACGTATCTTTTATACAGTTGCAAATTGTCGATGCTTGACTTTAGTGAACCTCTCTCGAGGCTTGCCACGAAGCAGTCTGATAGTAGTGGACCCAACGGAGATCCCATTGCAATACCATCCTTTTGTCTGTAGATGGTGTCGTTGAATGTGAACTGGACGTTCAGAGTGCATCTCAATAATAATTCTTTCAAGTATGTTGTCGGTATTCCAATATCGAGGTGGTTGTCATCTATATATCTGCATATGAAGCAGACCGTTTCTGTGAGTGGGACATTGGTGAAAAGTGACTCGATGTCGAAGGATAGCATAATTTTGTTAGATACATTCATGTCTTGTATGCACTCGATGAACTGGAAGGTGTCACGGAGTGAGTGCGTACATAATTGCTTCCTTACAGGTTCCAGAATATCTGCTAGCCATTGTGCAATAGAGTGGTAAGGGGAACCTGACATATCCAGAATTGGACGAAGTGGGAGACCAACCTTGTGTACCTTTGGTAGACCATAAAGTCTTGGTATTACTGAACCTGTTGGCCGGATCTGGTCGTAAATATCCCCACTGATTAGTTGACTGGCCTTCATTCTCTTCAAGACGTCTGTGAGCTGCTTCTCAATCTGTTCCGTCTTGTTTCTTTCATTGGAAGCTTGGGAAAATTTATCTTCATTCGACAGTATATCGTTCATTTTCTCGATGTAGTCTCTTCGATTCAGAAGCACTACACCAGCACCCTTGTCGGGCCGAGTTATAAGCAGATCTTTGTTATCTCTCAACTGTTTCAATTCCTCTCGGTGCCGCTTCGTCAGGTGGTTGCGGACTTTTGATTTTGTATTCAAGTATTGATGGCAGCAGTCCATGATTGTTGACTTGAATCTCTGTAATTCGTCTTCAGAAGTTGGGCTGAGATCGTGCGTTTGGCTGATTAGATTTTCAAACTGGACCTGAGTATGGAGTTTGTCGGCGTTGAAATTTATATCGCAGAATTTAGGGCCCAGAGATAGGACTTCCAGTTGCACGTCGGTTAAAGGTACTGAGGAATAATTGAACACAAACTTCGTGGGTTCGTCAGGAAATTTGCCTTGAGGTTTCATCTGCTTTAGGCTGTTGTTGAGCTGGGTTACAACGGACTGCGATCGTTTATTTGCAACCAAGTTGATATATTCAGCTAATCTTTGACATTCGTCCGAAGTCAATTCGTATAAGGCAGAGGACCTCTGATTGATATTCCGCTGCAGTTCGGGCATACGTGATCTGATAGAATCAGCACAATTCATTGCATGGCGTTGAAGGGACTTCGTATTTGGATATATATGATTTCGTCGAAGTGCTTTCCAGAACCACTTTGGATACTGATGATTAAAGACGCAATCCTCGAGAAAGCCAACTTTCGCTTTCCCCACAGAAAGCTTGACAGAGTACCTCAGAAACCCATTGAGTTCCTTGACTGTCGAGGGGTCCTTGCTACGTTTCAATTCATTAGTACCTGGATGGGGATTATCCATGAATTGAAACGTAACAA